TCCAAGTGGTTTGTAGCCTTGTCATTGAGTCTGTCATTGATTAGGGAAAGTAAAATCTCAGTTGTTAAAAACGGACTCAGAATCTTTACCTTCAGTTTTAATTTGGGTCCTGCCAAAAGGACCCTCTGAGACAAGGAAAAGGGTTCATTTGGTTTAATTGGGAGGTGGAATGAGGGAAAGGGCGACTGGAAAGAAGGAAGGGTCAAGTAATGCGTGATCTTGAGCAGGTCACTGCAGAGATGTTCAGTCCTGTTGGGTCCTTTGAGAAAAGGTGTCATGTGCCCTCAGTCCTGTTGGGTCCTTTGAGAAAAAGTGTCATGAGCCCTCAGGTTCAGCCCACTATGGGGTAGGAAGATGCAGCACCAACCCTCAGCTCTTGCCTTTCATCGCTTGAGTGCTGCTCCTGAGGTGACAGCTCCCTGGCACTTCTGTCTGCAGGTGACTCTGAGATTGGCCAAGCCTAGTGGGTGGGGAACCAATGGCATATGCTACACTACGGAAATGTATTCCAGCTCCTTGGAGAAAATAGGATCCTTCATATAGCACTTTACAGTTCTCCCCTCTTTAAATATCACCATGACAACCACCACAAAATAGAACACCTAAAGTTAGGAATAATTTAAAATTTTGGGAAATGTGGACTATAGGAGAGATTTACATTTCTATTTGCTAAAACTTTACAGAAAAAAAATTCAATACTGAAGTCAATTCTCTAGATCTTTATTGTCCATAGTGTGCTGTTAGAATTTCTCTCTCTCTCTCTCTCTCAGCATTATGCATAATTACAGAACAATATTAAACTGAAGAGGTTGACATTGATACAATGCAACTGTACCTGGATTCTACCAGTTAAACACATACTCATTGTATTTAGTTCTGTGTAATTTAATCACTGTGTGGATTTGTGTGACCACCACAATAGAGAAGATGCAGGACAGTTCCATTGCAAGGATCCCTTGTGCTACCCTTTTATAAGCTGCAGCCACTTCCTCCCCCTACCCAACACTGGAAATCATTAATATGTTGTTGGTTATAATTTTGTCATTTCAAGAATATGGGGTAAATGGAATAATACAAATCCAAACTTTTTAGATTTTTAAAAAAATTTTTTTTCCTATTCTGCTTAATCTTTTGCAATCCATTCAAGTTGTGTGAGTCAGTATTTTGTTCCATTTTGGTTGTTGAGTAGTATTTCATGGTTTGGATGTATTATAGTTTGTCTAGTCATTCACTCATTAAATGAATTATACCTGGTTCCTGTTTTGGGTTATTATGAGTAAACCTATGAATACTTGTGTAGAGGTTTTGTGTGGACATATGTTTCCATTTCTCTGGCATAAATGCCCAAGAGTGTTATTGCTATGTCATTTGCTTAATTTGAAGAGAAATTGTCACTCAGAGTAGATGACCCATCTTATGTGTCCACTAGTAATGATCCAGTTTCTCTACACCTTCTCCAGTGTTTTGAAATAGCATTGCTCTCTCTCTCTCTTTTTCATATCAGAGCCTCAGGGAGATTGTTGTGGCTTTGGTTTGAGGACAGTATTGTGCTTGCAAATTTCTGGGACAACCTAAATATCTCTTATAATTCTTGTTCTTCTTTTTTCTGACTGCCTCTCTTTTTAACCTTAAAATAATGTATCTGATAAATTGTAATAGATCAAAGCATTACAAATGACTATCTTCTGTTGGATTAAAAAGCAAAAGGCCAATCCTTAATCTGCAGAGGTAAATAAATGATTCCCACGTGACCTGCCTCAGTGCAGGAAGATGGAATAGGGAAATGAAGAGCGGATAGAATCATAGGAGAATGACCCACAGGGTCCATCATTCATAAAATGTAATGAATATCATAACACTTTAGGCTAGATGCCTTCAGTATACACAGTTTTGAAAAGAAATGTACTTGTGGAGACCCTGGGCTATGACCTACTTTAAGATATTTGTTCTAATAACATAATTTGGGTTGGGAAGAATGTAACCTACCATTGGTTTAGATGTCATTTAGGAATGATGCTATCTATGGTGTTTTGGGAGATGATGTCATGGATGCCCACGGCAATTAAACTGCTTGCTCAAAGCCACACAGGGAGCTGACTGCAAAGAAGAAGTAGAGCCCATGCACAGTACAGTCCAGACATGTGAAAGGAGATTTTTTAGCTTGACCTGTGTCTGATATTTTCATGTCGTACTGTGCCGCACCCTGCTTTGCATGTCATCTTGTTACAAGCTGGAAGGTCCTGCATGGTTCTATTTTGCTGCATATTTTATTATTCTGTAGAATGGACATGGAGGGTGGGTGAGGCATTCCTCTGCAGAATGAGAGTATGACCTGTTTGCAAATGTTGTCTTGTGTTCAGGCTGGTCCAAAGGCTCAGAAGTCCAAAGAGGAGCTGGAGCAGGTCATGGGGGGCGGGTGGGGGGGAAGCCAGATTAACTAGAGCAGGTTTTAAAATAGAAGACTTAAAGTGATTCAATGTTAATTGAATATTGAGTAAGAAAGAGGTAGGGAGTTAATTGAATGAGTGAGCTTGGGGTTTCGAATAATTTTTTCATGATGTGAAGGAAATTATTGCAGTGTTGGATGCAGATCAGGGGAGAGAGAGAGGCAGCATGAACTTTGAAAGCAGTAAATGAAAGCCATTTAGTTTGGTGGAAGAAACCTGAGCCTGTTGGTTTGTTTGTTTTTCCTCTAAGCTTGTTAAAAAGCTATTTTTAAAAACCCAGAAATTGCTATAAAATGTTACATGTTATCTAAATAAAATTTAGAAACTATGGACAAGAAAAAGAAGAAAATGAATAGATCCACAGTCCCCTTATAGATACCACTGATATTTTAGCTTACATCTTTTTAGTCTTTTCCTGAGTATATACGTCATCATACCCCCTCTACCCCCACCCCACACAAAATCCCTGACTCAGTTTGGCTTGACTTGCTATTTTTTGATTTTATGGTGGTGCAAGAGTGAATCATTCAGCAGAAACTCTGCTTTGAATTTCAGTCTTTTCCAAAGCTAGTGATATGCAGCCCAATACTCCCTTGTGATACAGGGCAGTGTCGGAGAGCCAAAGCTCCCAACCAGGCATCCCATTACAGGGGAAACAACCAAAGCTGTCCAGTGTGCTGTGTTGCTAAACTTTGATGGTTGATGGGGTAGGTGTAGAATGCATTTTCAATATTTTTTTTATTTATGCAATATTTTTAATTTATGCTGGGTTTATCATTATGTAACCCCATCATAAGTCAAGGAGCAGTCATATATACATATATGATATATATCATATTTGTCAATCCAGGAGCAATCATCTATACATATATGATATATATAAGATTTATCAATCCATAATATTTACATATAGAATCATATAGTTTTATAACCAACCTTAAATCTTAACACTCCATGAATGTTTCCCATATAATTTTAAATTTCCTACTATCCTGTTGTATAGATGTCTGTTAGTTGATTTATCTAATATTATTTCCCTCTTATTTACTGTGATGATGTTACTATTTTATTTTTGTTATTATCCACAATTATTTCATTAGGTTAAATTTGAAATTCCAATAGCAAATGAAAGATAAATATTTTAGCCTTTTGGTATCTAGTGCCAAATGCTTAGTTGTCATTCCAACCCAGAGTTGATAGGGTTTCCCATGTTCTTTCCAGCAACAGGTTCCATTATTATTTTTTAATTGCCAATTTGATAAGTGAAAAAGTTATCTGAATTAAAATTTTTCATTTATTTGATTATTAAGGACATTATACTTAACAAAAAAGTTTATTGCCTATTTGAAATTCTGCCCTTGATAAGTGAAAAAGTTATCTGTATTTAAAATTTTCATTTATTTGATTATAAAGGACATTATATTAAAAAACGATTTGTTTGAATTTCTGCCCTTGTGAATTGCCTGATCATGTTCTTTGAATATTTTTTTTTTCCTATGGAATGTTCACCTTCTCATTGATTTTTGCCTTTTGGAGTGCTGGAGTTAGAACCTGGGGCTTTGCACATGCTAGGCAAGTGCTCTCCCTCTGAGCTACCTCCCCATCTCTTTTTATTGATTTTTAGTTGCTTTTAGTTGCCTTAAATATAATCAACTTTTGTTTGTTTTCTGTGTTGACAGTTTTTTTTCTCTGTTGGCTATAGGCTTTCAATTTTACGTACTTTTCTATGCTAGTAATTATTATTGCTGTTACTATTTTTTCTTTTATTTGTTTGCTTTTAGTTTTTAGGTAGTCAGATGTATCACTGCTGAGATTCTGTCACTGGTGTCATACTTAGACAATTTCCATTCTTTGATTATATAACCACTTATCCACATTTTTTTCTAGTTTTTTTTAAAAAAATCTATTCATTTAAATTTGCAATTCATTTTGGTGAAAGGAAACTTTTTTTTATTGGGATACTATTTCAAAATATTATGTTGTAATTTATATTTGTAAAGCAATCTTTGGGAGGGTTAATACTCAATACTGTTTTATTTCTATAGTGAATATATTTGCATACAGTTTGTCTATACAGCTAAGTGCCCTTATCCACACCGGGTCTGAGCCCCACTGTGAATATTATTGTTGGCTTAAAAATCAGGGTAGGTCTTGGATTCCGTTTATACTAAGTAAGCCTATCCCATAATGCTGACTGGCATACTCAAATTTCTTTTCCTTTCTTTCTTTTCTTCTTCTTTATTTTGGTCTGGGTTCTCAAACACTTAAAATTATGGTCTTGCTTTGTTTTCTTGAGGCCTGCCTGTGACAGTGAGTGTATTGCAGTCATTGGTCAGAATTCATAGTTTGGGAAAAGCTTTTCTGGTGGAGGGGGTGAAGGGAAGGGAGTGAGTCACCTGACAGCCTCCAAACCAGGATGCTCACAGCTGGGTGCACTGCAGTCTCTGAGCACAAACTGCATTTCCTCCCTGACCATCTCTGAATGCCACTAGCTGTAGGACTGACTGCCCATTTAAACTTTGTCCTTCTTTTTCTTTTCCCTTTCTTTTGCAGAACTTCACATGTGAGAATACATTCCAGCAGCAGGATGAGAGGATTTTCCTGAAGCCTAGAAGTTCTTGGAGTTCCACTGGATTTGCAAATGTACCAAAGAGGGCACATCTTGTTGTGCATATTTTTGAACTTTCAAATCTTATGTCTCAAAATGCTGGTTGCTGGTGGAAGGGGTCTTTTGCAGGTAGACGTGACTCAGGAAAGGGGAAATGAGCAGGAGGAGAGAGACACAAGGAGTTCCACACACTGGGGAAAGGTCCCCACTGTGTTTTGTATTTGTGTTTTAAATTTTGGGAGTGACTCATAGGCATTTAGCAAAAGTAATTGATTAAATTAACCTTATCAGTACTGAGGTTTCCTGGCCTCTCTCATCAGATACTTGGCTCACAGGCTGGTAGGTATTTAGTTGGTGACTGGTGAAGAGTGTGGGCTGAGTCCCACCTTTACAAGTGTGACGGTAATACCATCCTTGCTCTATCACATCCAGACTTTATTAAAATCAAGACGTGGTCCCCTGACTTGTTTGTTTTCCTTGGGCATACAAAACAGATGCTTGGGACTCACTTCACTAGACACAGCAAATCAGGGTCAGCTGTGAAGAGTCAAGTGCACACTTTGCCTGTTCTGCAAGGATACATTTTTTAGCAATTGGGCTGCCTGGATTTGAAAATGATAGGTGATATTCTCAATATAACATTCTTCAAATGCCTGGTTAGAGTTCAAGGGTTATGAAACCAGACTCTTGAGCAGTGAGTGGGCTGGGAAAAAATAGAGACAGAGTGCCTAAATAAGGCTCTGAAGGGAATCGGCAGAAGCAGGTGATCAAAGCGATGAACGCTCCGTTTACCATGAATGAATTCTGGGATCATCTTCCAACAGGGCGATACTAGTCAACAGGGAGTTTATGTCTCATCCTTTATCCTCAAAATGAAAATTATTTTGGGATAGGAAAGAAAGGGAAGGTTGGAAAAAATCCTCCCACCCACACCCCTCTGAATTAGGAGATCTGTTAATCAATATAGATTGTCAAATAATGGGGTTTCAGCATGTGTAATTTGTGGCAGTTGGGTTATCAAAAGGCATCCTTATCTGCATCTCCATTGTCCCTTTAAACAATTTATTCAGTGGGGGCTCTCCAACAATGAAAAGCATTGCCCTGCTTTCCGTAAACACTTTGCAAAATGTAACTGCTGTCAATAAAATTTTTGACAAATGGAAAGCATTCTAATACAGCATCCACCCACACACATGCACACACTCAGTACTATAGGATCAGGGCCCCACGTTTAAAAAAAAATCATCTTTGGGGCTAAAATGGACGTTCTTCAGTATTATCCTTGGGTGCATCCTGGACAGTACTGCATAGAAATAACTTAAAATAAATGACTTACCTCACTTGCATTTTGATGGTGTCATGTTGAGGATAAGAAAAACTTCTTTCATGCTGCAACTTTTGGGCCATTTATTATGACAAATTTATAACTTTGGTATAGCTTTTCCAGTTCAGCGAGTTTAAGTGGTAAGGTCCTACAGTTTTTGTAACAGAGGACCTGCACCTTGCCAGGGGAAGGAGATTTGGCATATCCCTATTAGTCAATCCAGTGAAGAAGAAAAAAAAATTTCAGTACTCTGAATTCTAGAACCACAATCACATTTCAGATCTAGAGATTTTCTTCTGTCTCTTTTGAATCTAAACGAAGAGAATCATAACAATTTTAAAGTCTTTATATAGAGCATAAGCTGTTTTTATAAATGTGAAATAACTCATTGAGGATATAAGTAATGTTAAGGAGGCATCCTGAGAAAACCTTGCTTTTGATGTAATTTAGTCAAATGGATTATTTTCTTCCCTCTGGCTCCCTCAACCCTCAGCACATTTTTGTCAAAATGAGTTTCCATATGTTTCATCTAAATGAGTCACATTCACAGAAATCATTCAAATTATCTGTGAATACTTTTCTTTCATTTGTGGCTTGGAGGTGGGTGGTTATAAGGAGTGGAAGGGATGATGGGCTGTTCTCCAAACCCCAAATCCTTTGGCTTGCTCTGATTCTCTGAGTGCTCTGCATCTCCAACTTTATTCTATACCGGAGGGAAATAGCCATAGTAAATTGCAAAGATTATTCAATTTCAGTCCACTTTAAGTGCCCTTAAAGAGAGACTGCACTCATGACTTCTCAGGGGATAGGCGATGCGTCTTGCCACAGACAAAGTGCTGGGTGAGAGGTTTTAAATCACATTTGTAGCTTGGGAGACGAATACTGGAAGCAGTTCTCTTCCTAAAAAGTAGTCATCTGTGTCACTGACTGTACAGACCACAAGTTGGGGTGACCAGAGCTAACTTGCTTAAAGAATTGTGGAACCATGTAAAAGGACATAAACACCTTACCCAGGTTAATGAAGACTGCCATTGCATTTCATGCCTTGAACTTGATGGATGCAATTGATCTGTTTACCTATGCCATCTTTTATTTGGTTAATCTTAAATGTACACAAATCTAAATTCAAATTAGGCAATTCTTGGGCGCTGGGTCTGTAGCTTAGTGGTAAAGCACCAGCCTAGCATGCAAGAGGCAATCTTAATCTCAGCACCATAACCAAAACAAAACAAAAATGACGACGACAAAAATGAGGCAGTGCATTTCATCTGTGCTGGAAATGAGATCTCTTCTGCTGACTGCGTTAATATTCTATTTGATTTTCACCCTTGCAATCAAAGGCTATGAGTAAACACTTATGGAGCCTTTGCATCCGAGTGACCTAGATATGGAAGGTTTATTTCTTTACTTTCCCCCTGTTTGATTGATTTTTTCATATGAATGGGTGTGTTGTAGATTGTTTTGTGGATTTCATTGCTACTTGATTTTAATAATCTCTATGTGCTGTTGGAAAAGACTCCCTTAACCCATTTCCACACATTCTTATTGGGCACTAATGCTGTGCCTGATGATGGGATAATAAGCTGGCCAGACTGTCTGGAATCTTGAACAACCATGAGGCTCTCAGAGAGACCACCCACAGTTCCATCTCATTGATGTTTGGATCTGTCCAAAGACAGAGAGGGAGAGGAAAGGAAGGGACAAAGGGAGAAAGGAAGGTTGATTTAATAAGTTTCAGATCATTTCAAGCTGAAATTCTGTCTGTGATAGGAACATAATTGAGGTGGAAGAAAATGTCTTTCTCCTTTGCATCTATTGACATCAGTCTTTTGGGTGCATCCCATGTTGTAGGTGGTGTGATCCATCCAGCCTCAGGTCTTTAAATGATCCTCAACTGGGTGAGTCTGAAGTCCTTCTGTGCAGATGAGGTGACTCCTTTTCTACCCAGGCTGTTCCCTTTTTGCTTGAATAACCACTTACTTTGGTTTGAGTAGGACTCTGTATCATTCTTCTTGCTAACTCATTTCCTTTGCTGGCTGTGCTGGATTCCCAGAGCACCCAAGCAGCTAGCCCCTGTAAGTTGAATTTTTTTCATGGGCCCAGGTGTGGGCAAGCTGATCACGATCTACATAAACAACAGAGTTGGGAAGTAGGTTGGGGTCAGGAGTCTGGTTGGGTAAAAATATATTTAGTATTTAGATCCCATGCATTTTTCAGGAATCTTTGAAATAACTTACAATAAAAAAATAAGCAATTAGACTAATTTAACAAGGATTAAAAAGTTAAAGCTCATGTCAAGTATAAAGTGATAAACTTAGGCTAATAATAGCTTTTATAGTTTAACACTAATTTTAGTAGTGGGTTCGCAAGCAATCAAAATTTTAAACTATAGGGAGGGATTTAACTTTGATACCTAAAAGAATACATATGAGTTCACCTGAAGGTGAGCTCTCTGCTTAGCTTACTAACTCTTAATTGAAACTTGGTGCATGGGTCCTGTATATAGGCAAGGATTAACTAATGAACACTTTTAGTGGTGATATTTTTTAAGTTATAGAAATGTTCTTCATGTGTCTGTTTCTCATAGTGTGAAAAGGAGCTGGCTGGTTTCTACAGGAGAATTAAAATACTTTTTAGCTTTTGGGTTTTACTTCATCTGAGCTGCATCTTAGCCATGCCAGAAACGTGGACATGCATCTTCTGGCAGGAAGAAGGATTGATCATTGGCCCACTATCTTTGGCTGGGGTGCTTTACATCCCAGACTCTTGGAGGATTCGCCAGGTGCTTTTCCTTCAAGGGCATGTTGCCATGGTTCTGTGGTTCCCTGGCTCAGTCTTCTTTTGGGATTCTTGAAATTCTTCTCTTGGCTCACTCACAGAGATACTTGGAATAGGGGCTGGTAGCCCTGTTAGTGCTTAGGCTTATGTTTGGGAAGACCCCAGCCTTGCTAAATATCTTCTGAATAATTCTGTTAAGAGCATTGTCCTGTTTTGTGATGTGTACTGATGCTGTGCTCTGGTGCTGTGGTATCTTGAGGGATGAGAAGCAAGCTTTTGGAAAGACCCCTGGAATTAGGCACCATTTCATTTCAGCAGTTGATGCCGCAACTAATTTTGGTAATCTTTAGTGTTTGACAAAATTGCTCCTTTTCATTAATATTTTTAGAGTATTTTATTTCTAAAACTCTGCCTAGTGCAATGACATCACAAATGAGTAATACTGTATAACCTAACTTCAAAGATGACAAATAATTTGATGAAAGCAGCAAATTGAGTCTGGCTCAAGGCCATCCATATAGCAGGCATAGAACCCAGATGTCAAATGTCAAATATCATTTAAGACTAGCAGAACACTAAAGCAAAAGAACAGCTTACCTGGATAGGCGATACTCTTCCAACCAACAGAGAACACATGAAGGAAATGATATCAGGGATAAAGACACATGAAAAACATTTAATAACCTTCAGAACATATGGAAATTAATGATATTCAGAGCTTGCAGAGTACCAAGATTTTTCAGCTTAAAATAATCTTCCTGCTGATGCGCAGTTACTGGAGGGCTCCCAAAATGCCACAGAGAAAATTATATGCAAGGAATGAAAGGGAAAAAAAGAAAGAAAGAAAATCTCTGAGATTCTGGGCATGGGGTGGAATATTTGTGAAGAACTGAAAAGATAGTGGGTATGTGCCCCCTGGGTTGCTCTTTAACCAGCCTAGCTGGCCTTGGAGAAGACTCTTGTTCATATTTCCTTTATTTGTAAGGAGGACTTTTACTAATTTCACTTTGTTAATTTTTAAGGTACTCTGCATCTTTAAACCTGTATAGTCTAAGCATTTGACAAAGGCCCAGTAGCCAGAATGACTTCCATCAGAAGAACCTGTACTGATGTGGGTAGGATTTCATCCTAGACCACCCAGTATTAGAAATCTAATAAAGACTCTTGGAGAAGGAGGCCTGCTCAACTTCCAAGCCTAACAATCACTGTATCACACTGCCTCAGGAACTGCGTAAGACATGAGGCAAGATGGGTGAGGAAAACAGTTAATCCATTGGAAGCCGAGATTTGACCATATTACCCCATTCATTATCACCTCTTTCTGCTTGAAATGAGAGTTAAATTGGGTAAAAGAGTTAGTGCAACCTCAAATCCCAGGGGTGCGATTTCTCCAATGACAAAGATCCAGAGTTAAAAAATAAAAAGAAATTAAAAAAAGAAAGGAAGAAACAAAGAACCATATCCCCAAGGTCTGAGTGGATGCACTCAA